AAAGACCCTCCCTCCGAGATTGATGGTTACCATGATGCCTGGTATACAAACAATGTGGCAAAGGGTCAGGACCCAAGGCCTGGGGTTGGGGGGATACTTGACCCTTGGTACAGCAGGCTATCTACGGTGTGTGGGCCACACAGGGCTTGCTCAATTTGTCTTCTCACCTAGGAAGCAGGAGACCGGAATTCTTGGCACTGTCCCACTCCAGGGCTTCTTTGGTTCCACCCAAGGCCAATAATCTCGGTCACTCCTCACACAAGTTTGCTGTGCCGTCTCTGCCCAGCGGATATGGATATGTTTGCTTGGGGAACCCTCCTGACAGCCATCTGGAACTCCGTGGCACGAAGGAGAAACGGAAACCTGAAGTAACTCAGAATATCAGCATAGCGAGTACACCTGAGCAGGACTTGTACTTGGTTCATCAGGTCTGCAGTTCTGCCTCTTAGAGGAAAAGCAGCCAGAACCTGTGGCCACCTGAGGAGCAGCTAGGTACTGTCTGGCTCTGGCCCCGGCTACTCCGGCACTTCCCCTTCCCTCCTCTGTAAAATAAGGGAGATCATCTAGTGAAATAGTGACCTTTCAGTGCCCACCACAGGCTGCACTGGGCAAGGGTAGAGGCCTCAGGGAGGCTGAGGTTCGAGGGACTGGGACTTACATCCCTTTCTCAGGAAGACCAGTGAGGAAGTGGCCTGAAATGTCAGCAATCTCCAGAGCCTTCTGTGCTGTGGGATGAAGACCTCCAAAGTACAGGAGGGACCTGGCACAGGGCGACAGAGGAAGAGAAAGGACCAAACCCACAGAGCCTGGGTTAGGTATCAGGGGATAGGTGGTAGGAGGCAAAAGGAGGACTAGGATCGCCCACTGCCATCAAAGCCAGCTGCAAGTACAACACCAGGGTCAGTTCGACAGGAAACAAGGGCTCTACATTCAGGGTAGGGGTAAAGAAAAGAACAGCAGGAAGAGAAAAAAAAGAGATAAAAGCAAAACCAAAGTCAGTGGATTTTTAAATTAGATCTCTACAGGTAGAAACACTGTCCAAAGAGTAAACCTAGTTGTTTAAAGTAGAACAAATTAGAATATGTGGTACTCAGCCTTTGAAAGCCAGTCTGCCAGCGGCCGGCAAAAGGTCTTCAAATACGTCAACCCCAAAACTTACATACAACCCCCGGGAAAGGTTGCTTCCCCCAAGTTATTCGAGATTATTTTTCTACCACATGGGAGAATAGGGAAAAATCCAAGGCAGGCTACGTCAGGTGTGATGGTTCCCGACTGTAAACCCAGAAGACAGAGAATGGAGGATGGCTGAGTTCAAGGCAAGTCTGAGTTACAGTTGACCATCTTGAGACAAAGACGTGAGGTTAGCTTCCTCATGTACCGCCATCTGTAAACAGCCCAACGCGCTAAGATGTCACCATGTAGTGCTGTCTTTAGCTTCTTATGGGGGAGGGGGGGTGGTAAAGAGGGCCTGCAGGGCCTCACCCATCCTCAAACCAACCACACTTGTGAAGCAGAGATCTGCTCCCTGTTTTCTTTAGACCTCAAATGAATTCATCAGCACAGCTTCAAGGAATGGAGCCAGAGTTGGGTTCAAGACCAGCCCTGCCTGGGCAAATCCCGTCTTCCGTCTGGCCAAGTCTCAGTCTCTGGAATGAAACTGAGATGCTGAGCAGGACCCGTGGGTGGAATAGGGAGGCCACAGCTATGTGACAGGCACTGCTTTTTAAACAGATTGGACTGCACTAGGGTTTAACTAACAAAACAAACCCAAAAGAAAAGTGTTTATGTTGAACTATGTAGATCCCTAGGGCTGGGTTTTGCAATCAGCCTCTTTATCTGACAGTGATAAGTTTTGACCTTACCCCATAGTCTCCTCCTGCCCCAGTGGTAGAGAGAGCAGCCGGAGGGCAGTGGTAAGGAAGCAGGTTGGTGTGGGTGAGAGAGCAGTCTGTCAGGCTTGGCTCCCAGAGGTCTGAGTCAGCGGGGCAGGCAGGGCGGGCCCAGTCCACGCATGCTATGGGAAGGCCTGGGTACAGGAATGTTCCTCCCATCCAAGTGAGGGCCTTGCCCACCGCATCCTGGCATTGTGGCTCCTTCTCCCTTCTGCCTTAGACACTGCAACTCAGCTGCAGACGGGGATGCTCCAAAGCCTGGAACTTTGGCTGGTGGGTTCAGCCAGGGGCCTTCAAGAACAGCCTGGTCCTCAGGACTGGCTCAGGGTGAACAAGGTCATGCCAGCCTGACCAGAACTGGGCTCTGGCCCCAGAGCATCCCTCGCCCTGCTGGGTGAGGTGGCCAGGTACCATCTTCACTGAGTCAGGGTCACTATTTTGAACAGTGAGTTGAACTTGGTGCTGTGGGTCCATCCTGTCTGGACACCCAGACCCCCTAGAACACAAGCCTATATGTGGCACCTGTAACTTGCTCTGTATCTCATCTGGGACACGGGCCCTCTGGGTTGCTTGTCCCTCAAAGTTCTCTTGAATCTCATCTAATGAATCAAGGGGCCTATGAAGTGATAGACGTGGTACCAGTGGCATATACCTATGGAACACCTTTGTTTCAGATCATGTGATTCTGGCTATGTAAGGTTGTTACTGTGTGCCAAGGACTGTTGTGATTACATACACACAGCAAAGTGGCTGGACATATCTGCTAACAGATGGCAACGCGTGTGGTCATAGCTGTGGATACACCAGAGTATGGTGGTGTGACCAAGGTGCACTCTGTGAGGGGCTCAAGTGTGAGTGGCCACTGTAGCCTTTGGAAAGTGTAGGACTGTGCGTTTGTATCCGTGACTGTGCATTCACAACCCAGGGACCGTGTCTGAGGCTGCAGTACAGCGTGGAAGCTCACAGTTCTCCTGTAGCCTAAGGAGACAGGATGTGTAATCTCAGGTCTGCCTCCATCCCCCGTCTCTACATAAGCACAAAGCAGACTCCTTTTCCAGGGCTGGGCCAAGATTGGGAACCCAGGAGTCCCAACCCCCACCCCAGGTTCTGGTAGCTGCCCAGGACAGAAAAAGAGGCCTTGTTTTCCAACCCCCTCAGAGCAAAGTGAGAGAGGAAACTAGAGGCAGCTGGGCCCAGCTCAGTCTGGAACATCTGCCTAGCATGTGACTAAGGCCAACAAGCCCTGTCACCACAGCACTGCCCCCCACATGCTCCCCCAGTCTCCTGCTGGGGGACATTCTGCCCAGCTCAGAATGAGCACAGATTTCTCTAATGCATACAGACGGAAAGAAACCAGAACAAGGGTTGTGACACCCCCATTCTCCATACACTTGTTACTAGCCAGAGACCCTTGTGCTACTTGGAGCAGGAGGTCTATCTCGAGCCTTCACTTTATCTTTTTTTTTTCTTCCTTTTCTTGTTGAGACACTATTTCACTGGGTAGACCAGGCTGGCCCAGAACTCACAGAGATCCACCTGCTGGGATCAAAAGTGTGTGCCACTATGTCTAGCTTCTAGTTTTCACTTTGTGATTCTTCTCCTAGGCCCAAGCCCCTTTGAGAACACACCATTTTGATTAGAGAATTGGGAGGTGGTTCCTTCTCAGCAGAGGGACACAGCAGGGCAATACTATTTCATAGGGCAGGAAGTGTTAGCAGGGTGCTTTCCAGGCATAGTGGGTTAAGAGGAACATTCCAGAGGGCCTCAGGAAGAAGCCCTACCCCCACGCTCAGAGCCTTCTCTACAGAAAACTTCATGGAGGTCGAGGCTGAGACGAGGCTACAAACAAGAAGTTAGCTCCTTTACTAGTAGGAAGATGAAGGCAGGCAGGGAGGGGAGAATTCCTCAGAAAGTCCCACATCTGACCTAATTTTGATCCAGAGCCAAGGGGCTCCATTCCAAAAGTTCCTGTAAGGACACTATGGCCTAAATGAGGCCGGCCCATTCCTCACTCCCTGTCATGAGCTCCTCAGACTCTGACCTGACCAAAAGCCCTTCCTGGTGAACCTCACCCTGGAAAAATCCCCTCTGCCTCTGAAAGAGGACCAGCTCATCAGTGTTCTTTCCATATGTGAGAGAAAAATCTTCCCTGTCACCAGGGCACTCAAGGGCATGGAGACGAGTCTTCTTTAAGCTCTAAAATGGGAGCCATTGCAGGGCTGGGAACCCAAGACTGCAAGAGTCTCTGCCTCTCCTATGCTGGACCGGAGCTTTCTAGGGACAGCTCCTGAGGACGCGCATCACCTGGGACTATGCAGGGCACAGTCTCATACTCTTCTCCTATGACACCAGGAATCCCTGTGCAGGACTTCACCCATTTTGAAGATAGAGGAGGGGCTGACAATATAGCTTAGTCAGTAAAGTGCTTGTAGCATAAACATAAGGACCTGAGTTCAAATCCCTACCATCGACATAAGTAAAAATCCAGAACTCAGGCATGACTGCACATGTCTTTAATCACAGCACTGGAAGGCAGAGGCAGGTGAATCTCTGTGCCTTCTAGGCCAGTCAAAACTACACACACGCCAGCCATTTGCCTGTAATCCTAGCACTGGAGAGGCAAAGACAGGAAGAACCCTAGAGTTCACTGGCCAGCCAGCCTAGCCCAATTAGTAAGTTTCAGACCCATGAGAAGCTCAAAAGTAAGGTAGAAAGCAACTGGAGACACCCAAAGTTGATTTCTGGCCACCGTGAGCACCTCCCCCCAAATACACACACACACACACACACACACACACACACACCCCAAGGCCAAGGCACAGGCAAATACACACACACACCGAGGCACAGGCAAACACACACACACACACCCTGAGGCACAGGCAAACAATGAGGAGGCCCAGGTCTGAGGAGGCCGTGCAGCCAGCTGGGGATGTAGGGCCTACTACTACCTCTGACCATCATAGCCTTGCTCCTATGTTTTGAAGTTATGAATTAATTCTTAGACCCATCAAGATCACCACATCCAGTCCAGTGGGGGCGTTTTGGGTTCTGTTCTCCCTGCAACCCTCACTGTTTCCAGGACTCAGAAAGAAAAGGCTGTACTTCTGTTACAGTGACTGTAAAACGTTTATCAAGAAAAGAGAGTCAAGCATCAGGACCCAGGAGCAGGCCGTGACTTCCCAGGAAGGCAAGGGGGCACGGGGTCACTTCCTGGCCTGAAGAGGAAAGGGGCAGTGTCTCCTGGAGGATGTAAACATAGGTGAGCCTGCCCAGGGGCAGGAGGTCTAAAGTCCCCAGAGTCTTTCTCTCAGACTTTCCACTGTGCAATGAGGATTTAAGATCAGCCCACAGAAGCAAAGGCCCCTGGGAACTGGGGACCTGGACCTGCTAGGAGAATAGGGAATTACCGCTAGTAACTTTCGAGAGTTCCCTCCAGGAAGGCACCACCAAGGCTCAGTGCTTTGTGGCTTGAGCATCTTGAGCCCACAGAAGGGAAAGTTGCTGCATAGTGCCCTAATCAGTAAGCCCCCCCCCCCAAACCAGGATGAGGGGAGTTTAAGACTTATAGGAGGGAGTTGGCCTGCAGTCCCTCCTGCAGAAGCATGGGTGGGGCAGGGAAAGCCAGGGACCAAGGAGCAAGGATGATCCCTCCCTCTGTTATGCAGTTCACAACCCATGGAGAGGACCGCACATTCATTTGGGAAAGGTAAGGGAGAGGAGACTCAACACCGGTCCTCTCTCCAAAATGTCCTTCACCCCATTTACTGTCTTGTAGGTCCTTGTAAGTCTTCAAGAGATTTCTGGTATGTCACCTACTCCATGGAATGTTCCCTGGCCAGCACAGTTCTGTGGTCCCTTCAAGGAGTTTCCATGAATCCTTAAGTGGCACTGTCACACTGCATTGTCTGATACCATCCTGAAAAGGGGCTCCTGCAGGACAGGCATGTTCCAGTCTTGGTCACCAATGTCTCAGTCATGGCCACAGCAGTCCGTGGAGCCCAGGGAATGAACAGGGTGTGGTGGCCAGATGAGCATGCACTATAGGCTCCAGGAAAGTCTGTTTTCTAGGGACTGACCAGCAGCCCAGACTTTGGCTCAGAGGACTTCTACCTCCATTCATCCATCTTAAAGTGAGGGAAGACTTCTCCAGGGGTAACAGGACTTCTCAAAAGTCCCTTCTCTTCTAACAGGCCACTCGCCTAACCCACTCCTGAACATCCACTGCTAGGGACAGGGAAGCCTGAAGTGGGGTGGACCGCAGCGGCCAGGTCCTGGTGGGAAGAGGACCTACATATGTGGCCAGAAGGGTCAGAGATAGTCATACATGCGCAGCGCCTTCTCCAGCTGCTGACCCACCCGCTGGTAGAAAAGGATCTGCTGGCGCAGGTAGCTTTGCATCATATGCTTGAAGTCAAGCTCACGGCGCTGGTGGAAGTGGTTCATCTCAGCCTGCAGGGCAAAGCCTACCACACGGCAGCGCCTGCGAATGCCATCTGCCTCTTCCTGAGCCATGCGGCCCTCATCACTCATGCGCTGGCTTTCCTTCACCTTGGCAAAGGCACCTGGCAGGGCAGAGCGCAGGACAGACAGGTTAGGGCTTGGAACCCCCATTCACTCACTCCCTGTACATCCCTCTAGTCTCACAAAGGCGAAAGACACCCCAGAAGGCTCCACCCAGACTTCCTCCTGAACCCACGTGACTGTCTCCCTCAGGACATCACAGGCCTCAACGTTTCCTATTTCAGCTTTAGTCTTTCTCTTCCGTGTACCCTGTGATGTCCAACCTTCTGTATCTTAGCTATCACATTCTGGGTAGCTGGCTTCCCTGAGGTGTGAGCTAAGTGTGTTTAGGAACTGTCATGTTCCTCTGTTCCACAAGGTCTGGCCAGGCAGATGTAGACACATCTGCTGAACTGACTCATTTCATCCCCAGGCTGCTATGACAGTGACATCCTCCCTAATTTGAGAGTCTATCTCATAGCATCCAAAGATGCTCCCTAAGCTGGATGCCGTGTCTGGCTCTTCGCTGCCTGCAGATGACAGTCCACACCCACTCCCCTGCCTAGGAGGCCTCCGGGAGTTGGATCTTACAGATGTGACTTCCACAGTGACACCATGTCCACCCAACCCTCCCAGTTCTTTCCTATCTTGCCCCTGCCTGCTGGATCTCTATCCATAATTTAAGGGCTAGATCAGGTTCTACTTCTACACCAAAGTCTCCCCAGTGCCCCAGGCAGTATGCCTCCCAATGCACCTGTTCCCCAGCCTGTTATCACACAGCTGATTCTAGCCCAGCACGTCAGAAGCCACCTGGCATGTCTCCGTTACATACAAACCCTGTCCACTCCTCACCCCGTCTCCATAGAACCAGAGGAGACTGTGATGATAAACAGGTGACAGGTGGTAAAAGAAAGGGGTAAACCTGGGCAGGGGCCTTAATTTGGAAGAACTGAACTGAATCAACAGTTAATGGATTCGGTTTCGAATAAAAGGCAGGTGACTAACTTTGCCTTTAAGCCAGTTGCTGAGGAGAGGAGGTGGGGGGTCCATACCCGGCATTCACTCTCAAAGGACGAAAGGGAGACCCTAGTGCAAAGGAGCCCTCATCCCATTTTTCCTTTTGTTGACTGTTTTTTTTTTAAAGAGTTATTTAATTTTTAATTGTTTGTATGTTGGGGAGGAGAGAACGTGCACGTGAGAGGCAGTGGAGGCCAGAGATGTCAGATCCCTCCAGAGTGCCATAGCCCGCAGGAGTTACAAGCAATAGTGAGCTGCCTGATATGGGTGCTGAAAACTGGACTTGGAGATTCTGTAAAAACAGCGCACACTTTTAACCACTGAGTCATTTCTGCAGCCCTTCTTTTTTTTTTTTTTTCTTTTTGAGACAAGGTTTCTCTGTGAAATAGTCCTGACTGTCCTGCAACTCACTCTGTAGACCATACTCTCCTGGAACTCACAGAGGTCCGCCTGCCTCTGCCTCCGAGTGCTGGGATTAAAGGCGTGCGACACTACTGCCCATCTCTTCAGTTAAAATCTATTTTATCATTTTAAGTGTATGAATATATTTGCCTACATGTATGCCTATGGATCATGTGCATTCCTGGTACCCACGGAGGCTAGAAGAGGACATCAGATCCCCTGGAACTGGAGTTATAGATAGTTGTGAGCCACCACGTAGGTGCTGGGAGTTGTACCTGAATCCTCTGGAAGAGCAGTCCATCCTCTGAACTCCTGAGCTATCTCTCCAGCCCTTCTTCTGTTTTCTTTGAGTTTTTTGTTTGTTTGTTTGTGTTTTTGTTTGCTTGAAACAGGGTCTCGTGTAGACCAAACTAACCTCAAACACACGTATTACTATATTCGGTTTATGAAGACTGAACCCAGGGTCTTGTGCATGCTTGGCAAGCACTCAGCAAGCTCTCCACCAAATAAGATACATCGCCAACCTCTGCCACTTCTTCTACATGGTATTCTTTCAGTTCTCACTCAAGTTGTCAGAAATATTCAAAATGCACTTCCTATATGCCAGGGCTGTGCATGCTGGAAGTAACTCCAGATACTTTTATCAGAGGCAGCATCTCTATCAGCTAGCGAGAGCAGGGCTAAATGGTTACTAGTGGCATTTTATACAATGCCTGTTTTGGAGAAAGATGCTTCCGTGGTACCCAAAAGAAATCAGGAGCTCCCAGCTTTCAGCTCACTCAGGCCTCTGACACCTTCCCTCATTATCACGGTCCTCCTGCTCCATACTGACAGTCCAGCACAGTCCTGAGCACACGAGAGAATATCAGAAGAGAGTTCAGAGCTAAAGAGACCCTCAAGGGCAGCTGTTCGATCCCATCACAACTATTTTAAGAAGAAACTAAGATCTTGAGGGGATTTGCCTCAGGGCTTCCAACCTTCTTCCTATAAGTGGAAGGTGCCTGGCCCTTCACATCTGGGGGATGGATGCCATCTCTACTACAATCCTATGTAAGGCCTCCAGATAGTGGACACAAGGATCCAAGAAGGTCATAGTGAGTAGGAGGGACCATAAGAAGAAATAAAAGAAAGCGAAGTTAAGCTTCAGCAAACATAGTCTTCCTGAAGCAGAGATCCAGAAGGAGCCTGATTCCACTGGCATGCCTGGTGGAGTCTGGGAACAGTGCGGGCAGATCAACATGCAAAGAAAGATTTTCTTAGGACTGGAAAGATGGCTCAGCAGAACACTGACTGCTTTTTCAGAGGATCTGGGTTTGATTCCCAGCACCCACATGGAAGCTCATAACAGCCCCAAAGGATTGAATACCCTCTTCTGACCTCCACAGGTATCAGGCATGTATGTGGTACACAGACATATATGCAGACAAAACACCCATACACATAAAATAAGTTAGAAAAAAAATTTAAAGAAAGATGCTATGCCCATAGCCTTGATGGGAGATTAAAGCCCCTTTTGTTGATGAGATAAGGGCCCAAGTGGCAAGAATGAGCCTACCACAATCACTAGGTGTTCAGAGACAGGCAGGGCTGGGGGCAAAGGCTTCAGAAGGAAGAAAGGGAGGCAAAGGCTCCAACTGTGGTGGTTTGAATAAGAATGGTCCCAGAGGCTCAAGTCCTGGAATGCCTCTTCTCCAGTTGATGGAACTGTTTGGGAAAGACTAGGAGCTGAGACCTCATTGTAGGAAGTGTACCATGTGCGTGGGCTTTGAGGTTTCAGAAGTCCATGCCACTCCCAGTTAGTGCACACTCTCTCTTCCTCAGGCTTATGGATGAGATGGAAGCTCTCAGCGACTGCTCCAGCACCGTGTCTGCCTGCCTGCTGCCATGCTCCCCGCCATGATGATCATAACCTGTAACCCTCTGAAACTGTGAGTCCCCAAAAAATTCTTTGATAAATTGTCTTGGTCATGGTGTCTCTTCACAGCAATAGAAAAATAACTCAGACACCATCATTTCCTCACCTCACCTGGTAACTGAGACGAGGGGACAGCTAAGAATCCACCGCAGCAGGCAGGGCTCACTAGGACTCAGTTTGAGATTCCTTCGGGGTTGCCTCCTGCCCTGGCACGCTAGATCCCAGGAATGAGGAGCGAGGACTAGCAGAGCCCGAGGGTTCCAAGCACAGTACCCACCCTCCCCCACTTATCTAAATTTGGGGGCAGGAGGTCTCAGTCCTAGGACCAGCTGTTACACCTACAGGAAACCGCTGGTTGGCTGGGCAGCAAGTGTCTCCTCTGGTAAATGGGACAGATCTGATGCTGCTGAAGACCGCTCATAACAACCACATGCCAAGACTTTCCACATCTGTAAAAAGTGGCAATGACAGCACAAGCTCTACAGCAACTGAGGTTTAATTCAACTAATATGCATAAAATGCCAAAGCCTGCACCTACCATAAACAAGGACTCGGAATGCTTTAATATGCAAACGGTCTCCAAGTATGTGTGCATGATGTATGTATTTATACATATGTGTGCATGCATATTCATGTGGGTGAAGGAATGCATGAGCCACGGTACACATGTGGCAGTCAGAGGGTGATCTTGGGTGTCAGTCATCACCTTCTACTTTGCTTAAGATAGAGTCGAGGTACCTGGCGGTGGTGGCGCACACACGCTTTTAACCCCAGCACTCGGGAGGCAGAGGTAGGCGGATCTCTGTGTGTTCGAGGGCAGCCTGGTCTACAAGAGCTAGTTCCAAACAGAGAAACCCTGTCTCGAAAATTTGTTTGCTGTTGTATATGCCAAGCACAAACTGCTGGTTGATCCCCTGCCTTCACTTTCCTTTGCATCAAAGAAACACTAGGTTTAGCTGAACCTGGCTGTTGTGTGGAATTTAAGCTCAGTTCCTCAGACTTGCACAGCAATTGCTTTACCCAGACTGCAAACTGTTTTTCTACCCAAGGACTCACAGCAATTACCAGCCCATGGTGACTCATGGCAACATAATTCTCTGTTATAAAAGCTTTGAAGATCCAGGTGTGGCAGCGCACACCTTTAATTCCAACACTCAGGAGGCAGAGGCAGATGGGTTTCTAGGAGCTGGAGGCCAGGTCAAGTTCCAGGTCAGTCAAAGCTATGTAAAAACAAAATAAAAGAGCACACAAGCTGGGCGGTAGTGGCGCACACCTTTAATCCCAGCACTCAGGAGGCAGAGGCAGGCGGGCCTCTGTGAGTTTGAGATCAGCCTGACCTACAGAGAGAGTTTCAGAACAGCTAGGACTACACAGAAAAACCCTGTCTCAACAAAACAAAACAAATAAATAAAGAGTTAAGACTAGCTTGAGGCACAAAGCAAGGACCTGTCTCAAAAAAGGAGGAGGAGGAGCAGCTGCAGCCCCTGGTGCTAGAAAGATGGTCAAGCACACTTACTGCTCTTGCAAAGGACCAGAGTTCAGTTGGCAGCTCACGACTGCCTGTAGCTCCAACTCCAGGGGATGCAAAACCAGCTTCTGACCTCTGCGGGTACCCTCACACATGTTCATGTATGTATCTCCAAACACAGAAACAAGCTGATACACATAGTCAAAAACAAGGTTGGAGGAGGAGGAGAGCAGCAGCAGCCGCCGCTGCTTAGGTGAAGCAAGGACTGCACAGGCTGACTGAACCTATCTGTCCCCTACTTAAGAGCTTGCACCGACAGGAACTACCCCTGCTTTAGCTAAGCCACGAGCTCCATGGTCCCTCAAGGATGCTCTGTAGTCCCAGACCAGCCGGGGGTACACAAAGTACACAAACAGAGGCGGTGCTAGACTGTGAAGCCCAAGCCTTCTTCCTTCCTCCTTTTCCTTCAGCACCATTGATCAGTTGTCCACGCCTTGGGCAGTTCTCTCCCCCATCTGCCTGACGCGGTAAACCCCAACATACTTGGCCCCTATACCGACTCTGCTACCAAATCTCCTCAATGCTGCTTAACTGTGAAATTGAAGGGACTGCATCAGCTACTTCGTGTGACTGCTTAGGATCGATCCCTGAGCTTGCTAGCTCTCAGGAGAGGACTGGGGGTCCTGCTTGCTCTGGGCAGTCAATTATCCTTTCTGTGACAGGATACCAAGTACTAGGCTTTTCTTCCCCCCAAATACTCAAGTGGACAGAACATACCTCAGCTCAGCTCCAGGCAGACTCCACATCAAATCAACATGGAGACAGGGGAGAAAATTCTCCAAGGTCACCCCATAGATGAGGTCCCTCCAAGCCCCGTTTCCTGGCTCTCCAGCCTGGGCCTCCCCAAACTGTTCCCTCTCATGCTCACCATTTGTTCAACCGTCTAGATGTGACAGACAGAATCCCGTGACCTAGAACTAAATGTCCCGTTACTTCTCTGAGGAAAGCCTCTATCTACGAGGCCAGTATCTGAGGCCAGTACAGGATGTTCTCCAGCTGCAGCTTCCAAAGCCTGCCCAGTCTGTCTTAGACCAACTCCAGTCCCTCCTCACTCACTCCAGAACCGAGGAAGCAGGGCTTGCACAGCACGGGGCAGATACAGGCAGCAGAAGAAACCTCTCAAGGGGAGAGTGAGACACGGCTCTCCTGTCTGCCTATCTGAGGTAGAAAGAACAATATAGCTTTTGCCCCTTCTTCTTCGATGAGCCTGGGAACACTTGGTGTGTGGACACGTGATTGCCTTCCTGCTCCAACTATGCCCTAAGTGAGAGTTTCCAGCCACTGCGTCGGGGTAGCTGTTTAATCATTGTGCCCAGCCCCTTGCTGCCCACACAAAAAAACATGCCATCCAAGGAGCTGGTTGAACCAGCTTTCCCAGGCCCAGCACGGTGTGTGGTTCCACTTCCGCACAGGGAGGCACCTGCCCCTGCCAGGCTGGGCCCTTGCTCTGAGTGCAAAGCCAGATCCATGGAACCAGCCTAAGGTACCAGGCAGGCCTTCCCCAGAAGACTCTACCCCATAGGCCTAAAACACTAAGGTCCAGGAAGGCAAAGGCTCTTCCCACAGGCAAACTGGGTGCAAAGTTGGGCTAGAACTCAGGCTTTGAATCCCTAGGGCTGAAATGAGGAGAAAGGTAGGTGGAGATGCAAGAGTTCAACAAACAGAAGAGGAAAAGAGAAAGGTGAAGGGAAGAAAGTTACCTGACAGCTAAAGTTCTGACAACCACCTTCATTGTGAGGACAGGGGCCTGAGGGCTGGGGTAATATATTTGCTGTTCCCTACATTCAAACCAGAGGGCTGCCCAGAATAAAACGCCTTGACCTCAGGGCCTAGGGTCCTGGGAGCCAGCCCCACGCCCTGCATATAGTCTTCCAGAATTACCAGCCCCAGGGAGGACCACGCCTCTCTCTTGGCATGTTCCCTAAGTTCCTGAACTCAGTCACCTGCTAGGTCAGCCCCTGACTCAATCCTTACGCAAGAGAAGCCCAGCTTGGGTAGGGAAGATAGACTAACCCACGTGAACAGAGCCTTGGACCCCTGGTTCTATTGCCCCCTGCTCAGCTTAGTGCCCCATGTGACCCAGGATGAGTCACTTCGCTGGCAGTTCCTTAACAGCAGCAACAGGCAGGGGCTCACACTGTCCCTCCCCCACACAGGGGGCCATGAGAACTGAAAACATGATGGGCCTGGGAGGAGGCCAATATAGATATGTCCTTGGGGAGCGGGAAGGAGGAAGGAATAGTCCCAGCTGAGCCACAACCACTCTGCTGTGGACACAGACTTCATCTGCGAAATGAGGACAGAGATCCTCCTGCACAGATAGGGGCTAACAGACAGGGCAGAGCGGGAGTCTAGGCTCAAATGCTTCAAAGGTAGGAGCTGAGCCTATGAGAGGGTAAGACAAGCTGCAGTCCGCTCTTACCTGTGCCTGTGTCTTGGTCCTCCTTAAACCCATGGGTTCATACAAGGCAAAATCTGGGATCTGGTATCTCTGTGTTCCCAGAACCCAGGGTGTTACCTTGGGGTCCCATGCATGATTGGGTAAATGAGATATAGAAAGAACAGAGCGGACAGGAAAGTATGCACGGAGCTTAGTGAGAACAAAGACCAACCCTGTCCACCCTATTCTTCTGCCTACTAGAGAACCATCTCAATATATTTGTTGAGCCAGCGATGGAGATGGAGACAGGAAAATGTGATGAGCTGTTCATCGTAGTGCAGGCGGTGCCCATATTCCCAGGGACCAGCAGAACACCACACTCAGGAAGGGCTTACCTTTTTGCAGATGGATAATGTCAGGAAAGTTGGAGAGCAGGCCCTGGTAGAGAGACAGTGTGTCAAGCATTTGGAAGAGGTCATTCTTGGGCTGTTCAGCAAACATCTCACCAACAGTTTCATAGGTCCGGCCGGTGTGAGAAATGGCATTGTTGAGGGCCTCAGAGCTAAAGGGAGGATCCATCTGGAAGGCCTGGCTAATGGCCTGGAAGGCATTTCCTAGCTTCTGGAATTCCTTGCGGAAGCCTCCCACATGCTTCCGCACCATCTCCGATGCCACGGTGCTAAGTTGTAGGACGCATTCGTCCATCTTCCTACTGAAAGTCTTGAATGTATCCACCCGGTCCTCTACGTCCTGCAGATCCTGGTGCTCTGTGGGGATCTGGAAGGTGAGCAGAAAGCTGGCACCCACCATCTCATCCCTCTCTGCCCGACGTTTACCCATCTTCCACTGCTTGTCATCTAGACAGCTGAGGAAATGCTGGAAGCCCTCATACTGAGAGAGCACAGGGTGGCTAGTCATGTGGTCCATCCAGAGGATGAGTCTTCGCTTGCGCTTCTCAATGAAGTCCTCCTCAAAGCGCCCAGTGGCCTGCTTCTCAGGCAAGTGGGGCACAGAGATTACAGTGAACTTGTGTAGCAGGCGGTTGTAGAGCCAATCGAAGTGTTTGTAGCGCCGGTAAACAGGTGAGCCAGCATGGGTGGGTGTAAGCTTATAGGAGATGTAAGTTTTGATGCCTTTGAACTTGGTCTGTTTGGTGGGCTCCTCTACGGAGCAGGCAAATGGGTGGGGGTTGGCCTTCCACTGAGGGCCACGAGGGCCCATCACAATGGAGTATGTCTCAGCAATCTTGGCCATCATGGGCACATCACCAAGAATAAAAGCCTCTACTCCAGAGCGCACAAAACACGAGAAACGATTGAGGTTACGTCCCACCACACTGCCCCGCTTGGAAGATGCCAGACTGTCTTGCCTTTCCAAGGGTGCCTTCGGTCGGAAAGCCATATGCTGGCTGGGGTAGGCACCCGGGTAGGAAAGGTTAAGTGGAGGGTGCCCATTGGTACCTAGACCACCAGCCCTTGGCTCGTCTACCACTGTGCATCCATCATCCCAGTCATCCCAGTCATCATCATCATCCTCTTCAAAGTTTCCTTGGTTTGGGAGGACGTCACTGCCCCCATCACTCTTGACTGTGTTGGTCATACTAGGGTTCTTATACAAACTCACTTCCGTGTCCAGGGAGACTGCAGAGCTGCTGGCATAGTCCACATGGTTGGTGCTGATGCCAGGACGGACAATCTCAACGTAAGAAGCAGGGAAGAGCCCTGTCTCCCCACGGCTGTTTTGTCCCTGCAGCCAGCCATCCAGTGAGGTCTCACTGAAGATAACTAGGTCTTCATCCTGCTGGATGCTGATTTCTTCCTTGTTCTCACTGTGGAAATCATAGAGGGCTCGGCCTTTCAGTGCCATGGCTAGGCTACCGGACAGGTCAAGATTAGAAGGGAAATGCCTTGCCCAGACCCAAGATGTTCAGCAGGGTGTCCAAAAATGTACTTGCAGCTCAAAGTCTGGTACACCTTACTCAGACCCTCAGGCAGAGTCTCAGCATGCACAAGATGCGGTCTGGTTGCTTTCTCTTCAAAGAAATGTCCATGGTCCAGAAACCGCCTTATCCAGCCCTGGTGTATCTACCTGTAAGCAGGGAGGTGTTGGACATGGCCACAGTCTTTTATCCCTTCCCTAGCAGCCCCTGAGAGGGAGGAAGTCTCTCCCTCCTCTCACACCAAGTAGAAAAGTCAAATGGACTGGAGAAGCTAGCTCTGCTAGAATAAGAATGCGGCAGACCCTTTGCACTAGAACAATGTTGTACAACGACAACAAGAACAACAAAAAATCAGCCGCGGACCACGGTCCCAGGAATGCAAGCAAGGTTCTGCCTCCCAGGCTCCCAGCTCCTCTGGCTGCTCCGGCTTTGGGAGGCTCTCACATTCCTCTGAAGATCTGTTCTTTCCTCCTTCCTCTCTCCTCCCGCGCCACTGCGTCTTCAAGAATCCAGAAAATCCAAGAGGGGCAAGAAGAATAACAGCAGAGTCCTGAACCAATTCCAAGGGTGGATGTGTCCAGCCTCCAAACGAGCCAGGCCGGGAAAACAAGGGCCAAAGCTTGCACAACCGGCGGATAACTACACGACCTAGGGGGCGCGACCCCGCCTCGTCCGCTCTGGTGCCCTCTTCCCCGTCCGCTCTGGTGCCCTCTTCCCGCCCTGCAAGTGGCTAGCCCCTACCCCCAGAGAACAAGGGACGCGACAATCCGCTCAGAGGATCTCTCTCTCTCTCTCTCTCTCTCTCTCTCTCTCTCTCTCTTTCTCTCCCTCCCTCCCTCTTTTGTTTGCTTAATTCCTCAGCAGTTTCGGAGTACTAAACTGACCCCAATCGGAGTCTCAAATCCCCTGTCCAGAAGTAACACTAATGGAAACCTCCACCATCACCACCCCCACCACTGTCGTGCCAGCAAACACTCAACAGTAGTTGGTAGATGAAGTTCCATCGAATAGATGGCGCGGCCGGCTGTTTGTTCGTCCGTCCCCCGCAGTTCGTTCTCCGCGACGCCTTGTGGATGCCGCCCAAGAAGGATAAACTGAGCCCCAGCTTTCTGCCGCCTTCCCACACCGCACTTGCAGCCCCTCAAGCGCTGCCTGCGGGAAGTCAGGTCCAAAACAAAACAAAAATTAAAAAAAAAAAAAAGGAAAAAGAAAAAGGAGTCCAGGAGGTGGCGTCCAGAGGAAGGAGGGGAAAGCAATAAGGGGAGGTGAAGGGTGGGGAGAGCGGGAGGGAGGTAAGAGGGAGGGAAAGCAGGCTAGGGAATTGAGCAAACTCCACAGCACTTCCGCGCGTCCAGGCGGAGCAGGGATCGCGCTGCTCCGCCCTCCCGAGGCCAGGATGCCACTGCCGGCTTTCCGTTCTCTTTCCTTCTGACCGGCGCCCTCCCTCCCTCCGGTTCTGTCCGGGTGGCGGGGATCCGGAAAGTGGACTCGGGAGTAAGGAGCGGCAAGCTTTCAGCAGCGGAGTAGCCGGTGCCGAGAGCCACCTCTCGCCCGGGTTGGAGCACCGCGCCGGGGAGCTCGCCAGCCGCCGCGGGGCTTCGCCTCCTGGACTCGATCACCCGCCTGCCTTTTCCGTGACGCAAGTGCAGGACAACTCCAAAGTTTGCCGAACGCGGAGTGGCAAGGAGGGAGCTAAGGGCTGGGAGAGCCTCGCAGGCTGTCGGGGAGCAGAACTGTGGACTATACTTTCCCAGCTTCCTTTCCCCTTTCGCTTGCCCCTAGCAGTCTAGGGATTAGCACAGCGGGATTGTTCTCAGAGGCGGAGGCAGGGAACTGTGCCACCCTGGTGTCCCGCAGGGGATACCAGGTGCTGCGAGCCTGATTGGGCCGGGAGCACCTCTGCCTTGGGCAGCTTCGTTAGGTTGGGATTGGGGGGGGGGGGAGACTATACTTCTGCAGTGGCAAGGAATAACTTTAGGCACAGGCGAGTTCTGGGTTTCTTTGTCCTTTCGCGGAAACTGGATCTTCCATTCTGGCGAGCAACACCAAGGAGAAAGCGTATTCTCGTAAATAGCCTCTAGACTTTCAGGATTTGACCCTCTAGTTTATGCATAACGCGGTGAACTGATTAAGACAGGAACTGTGTTAAACTCTGGAGAAAATAGCACAACGGTTGGATTCCTGCCCCGTCCCTCTGCTCTTTAATTCACCCAGTCTGTCTCATTCATTAAATTATGTATTTCAAACAATAAATAAACCGAGTACCGAAAATTTGCCAAACCCCTGGAAAGACAATAAAGTAAGAAACTGTGCTTATTTTTTGGACGCTCATAGTACCTTCACAGGTAGACAAGATGTTCCTGCCTAATGTGGCCAGTGCTGTGGAAAATACATGGGAGGGCACTACCTCAGCCTGAACAGCCTGAGTGGGACACCAATCAGGGACCTTCTCTTTTTCTTGCCTTGTCAGAGGTTACACAAAGACTGTAGCCCAGACCTCTTTCTAGGCTGAGTCCTGAAGCCTTGTTTACTACGCTACCCCCACCCCCAGCTAGAGCTTCCTACTACCCCATTCTAGTCTTGCTCTTTGCATATTTATTGGGATGAATTCGTGCTGTTAAAGATTGGTACCTTTGAGTCAGGCATTGGTGGTGAACTCCTTTAATCCCAGCACTCGGGAGACGGATTTCTGTGAGTTGGAGGTCAGCCTAGTGTACAGAGAGAGTTCCAGAACAGAGAAAGATACACAGAGGAACCCTGACTGGGGCGGGGGAGGGGGAGGGAGTTATAACCTTAAAAAAATTGGGACCTTTGGCTGTTTTAAGGGATGTGATTCTCAGACCTCTGGCTTCAAAACTCATTTTCATTGATACAATCTGGATTTGACTCCCTATGAAGATGAATAAATAACTGGTCTTGGAGACACACTTGCAGAACTGAAGCAGGAGGATCCTATGTTTGAGGCCATCATAGTGGGAACAAAAGCAAAACAGCTTCTCAATGCATCTTTTAAGTTCCATTTTACAAATACATTTTTTTAAACTTCCATTTTAAATTTAAGGCATCCTTAAAATATCTAGGCTGGTTAATTTCATCAGTCCCTCTTTAATCCCATGTCTCTAAGCAGCTGTTGTTTGCTTATCTGCATTCGAAAATTCAAAATCAACACAATAGCATATAGAATCCAGACTCCCTGTATATTTTTCATCTCTCTGTGGCTTATTCTTTTTACTACTTTACTTTTCTCTTTAAAAACTTTATTATTTTTAAGTTATTTCTTTCCATATTGTCCATATCTGTTTTCCTTCTTTCTTAAGCCTATACACATTATAAAAGGCACTGGAACCTGTTTAGCAGTTTTGCTGTCTGGACCTCTTTTGCTGCATATCTCTAGTCTCTTTTGACAGTACGAGCAAATTTTAGACTGCTAAGCTACACCTGGATCCTTTGCAAGACCCACGGCTGCCCCTTGCCCCCTGCTTTCCAGTTGTGAAAGACAAGCCTAAAGCTCACAGCCAGATTGGAGGTGCATGACCAGGAACTACATCCAGCCTTCCTAGGGGAGGAAGCCAGTACCTAGGCTGCCACAAACTCGGCTTTTTTATTTAGTGCTGTTATACCACCTGAACAGCAGTACTTCTTAAAGGAGCCCCGTTCTTTTTCTTTATTTTCATTTGTTTGTTTATTTATTTATTTATTTTGTTTTTTTTTTTTTAAACAAGATTTCTCTGTAGCTTTGGAGCCTGTCCTGGAACTAGCTCTTGTAGACCAGGTTGGCCTCGAACTCACAGAGATCTACCTGCCTCTGCCTCCCAAGTGTTGGGATTAAAGGCATGCGCCACCACTGCCCGGCTCCTTTTTCTTTTTTCTTTTTTTTTTTCTTTCAGCTTTTCCAGGGCCTTTATGGAAATATGGCCCCTTGTTGGGTGTCAAAATATTGTTGGTTGCTTTTTTTTTTTAAAAAAAAAAAAAACAAAACTCTTTACTGTTTTGAGGGGCCCACCACCCTGTTCCCAAATAAAATCATACATGGGGTCTTACTCTTTCTTATAAATGCCCAGCCTTAGCTTGGCTTGTTTCTAGCCAGTTTTTTTATTTTTAATCCCGTCTATCTTTTGCCCCTGAGCTTTTATCTTTCTCTATTTCTGTTTATCTTTTCTTTCCTTCTTATTCTGTGTCTGGCTGGGTGGCTGGGTGGCTGGGTGACTGGCCCCTGGAGTCCTCCTCTCCTCTCTCCTCATTCTTGCTCCTAGATCTTTTTCTTCCCAGATTTCTCTATTCTCTCTGATGCCAGCCTTGCCTGCCCTTTCTCCTGCCTAGCTATTGGCTGTTTAGCTCTTTATTAGAAGATGGGCACAGTAACACAGAGTTAAACAAACACAACATAAAAGAATGCAGCAATCTTTGTATCATTCAACAAATGTTCCGCAGCAAACAAATGTAACACACCTTAAATTAATATTCCACAACAGTGGTGGGACAAAGGCTGGGGCAAAGGAAACCTGAGAGTCCTTTGGAGGCAGACTAGACTAGAATGATGACCACATATTTGAAGATATTTTCTCAGAAGCTGGACATGGTAGTGAATGCCTGTAATCCTAGAATTTGGGAGGCTGAGGCAGCAGTATCAATAGAGCTAAAATGACCAGGCTTGGTGGTGTGTGCCTTTAATTCCAGCACTTTGGGGGCAGAGGCAGGCAGGTCTCTGTGAATTTGAAGCCAGTCTGGTCTACAGATTAAGTTCAAAACAAGATTAAGAACGGTCTCAAAACAAATAAATAAGCAAACAAGCAAACAGGAGGCAAAATGACAGAAACTAGTGTGAGATATGGGGAGGGAACAGTCCCTAAAACCTTTAGAGAGAGGTACTAGTTAGAAGACAATAAAAGCAGAAAATAGAACTCCTCTGATATTTGTGGCCTCCAATGAGGACTTTTTATGAGGGGCTGCTTTGGGCTCTTTTTCCATCTGACATAGTTTTATCTGTTCTCACCAGTCCCTCCTTTGAAGTAACAATACTAAAATCATTTAGGAACCAGACCAGGGATTAAAGCCTACAGTTTCGGCATTTCTTTGGCCTCCAGTTAGGACATTTTAATTTTTTTATTTTTTTCTTCTTTTCTCTTTCTGTCTTTGTCTTTTCTATCTCTATGTGTATGTATATATTTTCTTTTTTTTGTTTTTGTTTTTACAGTTAGGACATTTTTAGCTCATGACAAAGGATACAGATATTGACTCTGTCTCTAAACTGCCTGTCCCATTTTTATCTCCTACCCTCATCATTCCTGCCTGAAAAGGTGGCTCTGAATGCCATTTAGGAAATTGGGATTTTTTTTATTACATTTATTTGGTGTGTGTTTGTGTGTATGTAGGCCAGAGAACAAGGGAGTCTGTTCTTTCCCTCCAACATGGGGCTCCAGAGATGGGTGGAGCCCAAGTGATCAGGCTTAGCACCTTTACAAACCAAGTTATCTCTTAATACTGCCAATCACCCTAGAACTTTTTATTTTATTCTATTTATTTATTTTTGATTTTTCGAGACAGGGTTTCACTGGAGCTTTGGAGCTTGTCCTGGAACTAGCTTTTGTAGACCAGGCTGACCTCGAACTCACGGAGATCTGCCAGCCTCTGCCTCCTTGCCTCCTGAGAAGGCATGTGTCAGCACTGCCAGCTTTTTTTTTTTTTTTTTAAGCAGAATCTTACTGTATAGGCCTTGCTAACCTGGAATTCACTGTGTAAATTAGGTTAGTCTCAGACTCAAAGAGATTCACCTGCCTTTGCCTCCCAAATCTTGGGATTAAAGATATAAACTCTCCTACCCTAAAAAAAAAATACACACATACATACACACACAAAGAAAACAAGGCTTCTCTATATAGCCCTGGCTGTCCTAGGACTCTATATAGATCAGGCTAGTCTTGAACTCACAGAGATATCCACCTGCCCTTAACTCCCCAGTGCTTGAATTAAAGTCATTCAGCACTAATTGAACTTTTTGGTTTTTCGAGACAGGGTTTCTCTCTGTAGCTTTGGAACCTGTCCTGGCACTCGCTCTGTAGACCAGGCTGGCCTTGAACTCACAGAGATCCGCCTGCCCCTGCCTTCCTATTTGAACTTTTTAATAGATGTCTCCAACCTACCATCTACAAAATGGGCTTTCTGATCTTGCCCATCCCCAAATGTTCTCTGCTTGTATCTTCTTTCCCCATCTCGGGTGATTATGTATATATACATAGCTAAACTGTTGGTATGTAAAAAAAATCATCCTTGACTCCTCTCATCATTTGGTCATTTCCTTTTTACAAACACCTTAGTACTGCTTTTCTGGCTCAGGTACCTTCTTTCTGATCTGACCTGGGTGGCTACTGTAGCCTGCTTTTGTTTTCTGTGCACGTGTGCGCACACACACGCGCGCACACACACACACACACACACACACACACACACAAAACATTGTTCCTTATACGACAGTCAAGTTGCTCTTTGAATTTCTTTTTTCTGATTAAAATTTTTATATTGCTGGGTGGCGGTGGCGCACACCTTTAATCCCAGCACTCGG